AAAAAAAAAAAAAGTAAAGAAAAGCCACCCAGCCACCCTCCCTTCAGGGGGAGGCGCAACCTCCTCCAAAAATGCCTTTAGAGCCAGGCTGTTTCTGAGTACCTTAGAGCAAGATAACGTCCAGTCTAGATGGGAGGTGCGTCTGGGTCACGGAGTTGCTGAGCCTGGCTGCCACCCTTTTCCTTGGGACCCGCAGCACCCGGTGTGCAGCCCCATTCTGTGCATTTCTAACATCAGCCTTACAATTTCAAAGGACTCACCAGAGGGTAACCACCTTGGGGGTCATTGGCTTTACTGGAACACCATAGGCGCGGGCTAGGCCGAAATCAGCTACAACAGAGGCAGAGGGGAGGGAGCGTGTCATTCAGTAAGGGCTGACCCACTGTCAGTGCACTGAGCCAGACCTGGGTATCCTAGGGCCAAGCAGACAGACAAGCCAGCCGCCGGCTACCAGGGCACTTAAGTGAGCACCAGAACCCGCCCCAAGGATGTGCTCATGGAAAGCCACCTCCATCCAGACAGAGCCTGCACCCACCTGTCTTCACACAGCCCTTGTCTGTCATGAGCAGGTTGGAGACCTTCAGGTCCCTGTGGCAGAAGGGAACACTAGTTGCAGGAAGCGGCACCACAGTGGATACACACTATCGGTCACATCTGAGCCTTATACAAGCAGTGGCCTTTGGGTGGGCCGTAGGCTAAGAGAGATGGGCAACAGCGAGGACACTAGCAGCCAAGGAAGCGGCAGCGCCGGGCCGCTGCTCCAGCAGGCCCAACACAGGCCACACAGCAGGGATCCAGGGCTTCAAGGCCCTTTCCAGTTGCAGCCAGCCCCTCACTAAGACTTCAGGCCGGGCTGAAGTGCTCTGCTCACCTGGCCTTTGGGCTACTCTCTCCACCCACCCTATTTTCCAGAAGGGAGACCGATGGGATTTTCCAGACTTGTTTGTTCCCGGCTCCTTCATGGGGAGCAATGAAAATGTCTACAGCTGCCTGCTCCTCTCCTGCAGGCACTTGGAATAAGTGCTGTGGAGAGCAGAACCGTCCCGGCCCTGACCCTTTTGCTCTCCTCCCGCTGCCCCTGCCCACCTGTGGATGATGAAGTTCCTGTGCAGGAACTGGAGGCCCTTGAGCACCTGTAGCACAATACACTTGACCTGTGTGGAAGGCCCGAGGAGTCAGGAAGAGCTGAGGGTGTTGCCTGGCCACACCACCTCTGTCTACGACGCCAGGAGCAGCAGCTGACAGCCTAGAGCCTGGTATGGCTGTGTCTGCAGAGACACTGCTGCCTTCGTCCCCTTCAGCTGCTTGCTGTGGGCTGGGAGGCTCGAAGCTCATTTGTGGGCTTCTGTAGTTCTGTGCCTCATTAAGTCTTGCTGGTGCCACACAGCAGACACACATCCCTAACAACTATGTCTAGTACAAACATGCACTGACTAAAGCCTGTGAAATGGTCCCACCCATCTCCTGTGCACCTGGGACTCAGAAAACGGTGTTGGCATATTCTCCAGAAGGCTGGCGAGATCCTGCTCACAGTAACCCATCACCAGGAAGATGCTGGAAGGAAGAAAAAGGAAAGATGCACAGTACTTCCCATCTTCTCCCTAGCGCAGGCAAAGAACAAGACCTCCCCTGCTGTAGACAGGCTGACCTGGAAGCAGAAGGGCCTTCTAAGCCAGGTAGGACCAAAGGGCAGGGGCAGGAGACTGTACCTCTCCAGGTGGTTCCCCACCACCACCTCCTTCAGTTCCACGATGTTAGGATGGCGAAGGCGCAGGAGCAGTGTGATCTCCCGCAGACTGCTGATGGGGATGCCTGCAATCACAGGTGCGCCCATGAACCCCTCCACACTCTACCAAGACGCTCAGGGAGCACCAGGCAGTGCTGGGCAAGCAGGGTGCTGTGGGATTTGGTGGGGTGGGTGAGGGCAGAGCTGAGCCGAGACAGGGAGGTGAGTCACCCAACAGGAAAGGGTCTGGAGAGAGGGGACGGAGACACGGAGAGTGCCCCAAGCAGAGCGGCGCGAAGCCAGCGGGCCTCAGGGGCCCCGGCTGACTGCCCGGCGGGGCTCAGGATCCTCAGGGGCCCCGGCTGACTGCCCGGCGGGGCTCAGGGGCCCCGGCTGACTGCCCGGTGGGCCTCAGGATCCTCAGGGGCCCCGGCTGACTGCCCGGCGGGGCTCAGGGGCCCCGGCTGACTGCCCGGCGGGGCTCAGGGGCCCCAGCCGGCTGACAGCGGGGCTCAGTGGCCCCGGCCGGCTGACCAGCCTCTGAAGTGGCTCCTCTCAAACCACAGGCAGCTTTCACCTGGCTGCCAAGTCCCAGAGAGGTAGTTTTGTGCCTTCTCCACTCACCATCTTTCTCCTTGTCCATCCGCACCTTCTTCAGAGCAACAATCTCATCTGTCTGGGTGTCCCGGGCCCGATCTAGAATGGGAGCAGGTGCCTGAAAGCTGTTCCAAGCTCCCTCACCCCACCCCACCCCTGGTGGACACCACCTCCCCCC